TTGTAAAATAGACTAATTTACTAATTAATATAAAAATGTAAAATTAAATCCTAAATGCAAATGCAATGTCTTTTTTTTGTATTTATATGAATTAAAAAGAATTAAACATGCACACAAAGAATGCAAATAATTAGAAAAATTCTACAATAATTCCTAAAATAACAAATAATTAAAAGAAAAAAAATCTAATTTTGGGAATTTTGTAGGAGTAATTCATGTGAGGAAAAAATCACGTGCTCACAACTGCCCCTCTTTGCTCGGAGACACGAAGGGTTTTCGGGCAAAGATAAAATGAGCAGTTTCGAGGGATTTTTGCCTATCTGAAACTCCATGAGATCCATTTTTTTGAAAAATCTGACCGAACCTTGCTTCAAAGGTTGCCTACATATCCTTGGCTATAAAGGAATCAGGTTAGTGTAGTTCTGGAAGTTTTGGTAGCTGGGACTACCAGGAAGCTGTGATTCACTATTGCTGCTACTGCTACTGCTTGTTGAACTCCTTATTACACCAAAAAATGAAAAATAAAAAGCTAAGCTAGCTAATCCTATCAGCTACGAGTTACAAGATTCCTATCTATAAATCTCTTGAAACTTGATCTTGAGTCTTGGCTAGTTCTCGCTGCAGACTCCAATCTGAATCTTGATGCTCGTCAGCTGTAGGTGCTGGTTCTTTCTTCAGCTTTGGATCAAGGCGACACATGCGAAGCCTATGATTTCAATCATATCTTGGGGAGTCCGCGTCTTTCTCCGTTTCAGCATTCTGAGTTCACTTCTTTTTTGTTTCTTTTTGTTTTTTTCTCTTCTTTTCTTTATTCTGGATTGAGACTCATTCTTTTGGTCATCTCGAATCCTGTGCCTCGAGGTTAGACCTGCTCAGACACCAAAACAAACAAACAAACGAAATTTTTCTGCCCCAGTTTTCACTAGAAAAATTTTGTGAGTTATTTGTAACTAAGATCAAAACCTTTTTTTTGAAAGCGATAAAATAAGGATTGTGTGTCTTTAGGAGGAAAGATTAGGGAATGGAGCCCTATATCTAAAATTCTCAACTAGGGAATGAAGCCCTATGTTGGCAAAAGACGACTAGGGAATGAAGGCCCTATGTCTAAAAATTCTCAACTAGGGAATGGAGCCCTATGTTGGCAAAAAAGGCGACTAGGGAATGGAGGCCCTATGTCTAAAAATCTTAACTCAGGGATTGGAGCCCTAATGTTGGCAAAAAGGCAACTAGGGAATGGAGGCCCTATGTCTAAAAATCTCAACTTAGGGATCAGAGCCCTAATGTTGGCAAAAGGCGACTAGGGAATGGAGGCCCTATGTCTAAAAATCTCAACTCAGGGATTGGAGCCCTAATGTTGGCAAAAGACGACTAGGGAATGGAGGCCCTATGTCTAAAATCTCAACTCAGGGATTGGAGCCCTAATGTTGGCAAAAAGGCGACTAGGGAATGGAGGCTCTATGTCTAAAAATCTCAACTTAGGGATTGGAGCCCTAATGTTGGAAAAAGGCGACTAGGGAATATAGGGATTATGCACCTCCTTTTTATACACCCCGAGAGGTATATATAGGGAATTTTTACACTTTAAGTGACATTATTCGAAATGGGATTATTTATTCAATTTTGTTCAGAGTCGCCACTTGGAATAGTTTGTTTTCCAGTGTCCCAAGCCACCGATTTATTTTAAAATCCCAAATCGAGGAAAATTCGACTTTCCTTTTGAAGTCTGCGAACCAGAAATTCTGAATAAGGAATTCTGTTAACCCGAGGGAAGGTGTTAGGCACCCCTGGATTCCGTGGTTCTAGCACGGTCGCTTAAACTATCATAATTGGTATATTACCTGATTTAAGAAAACATGTTTTAACCTATGGTACAATTTTAACTTATTAACCGTTTTTTTATTATTTTAGGTAGATTCAACGTTATTTAAAACACGTCTTTGGACCACGCCACATGAAATGCACCCGCGGTCCACGACATATTTTATTTAACATTGTTGAGATTTGGATTTGGGTCACATGAAATGCACACCCGAGTTTAAGGAAATTAATTTAAGTTACGCGCCTAAAGCAACTACGCACTTTCAAATTTGCGAGGGCCATGGAAAGTTCAACTAAATGGCATGCCTCGATTTCTAAGGATTAAAATTAAAGTGAGGGCCATGCGTTTCGAGATTTTATTTGGCACGGCGCACCTCAATCTATTTTACTAAAAGGATTTCTAAACTTAGTTTTGAGGGCCATAAATTATAACTTGTCTAATATGGCTTGCCTTAAGTCTAATCAAAGGTCCAATTAATTAGCTAAAGGCTTAACGTGATTTGAATTCAATCTAGGCAAACATGTAAACTAGCCTTAAGAACCAGTAGAATAAAATGAAACCATCATTTGCTTATGCGAGAAACCCAACTGACAACAGGCCCAAATGGCATTTTGTGAGCCTGCACGTCGAAAACCAAAAAGGAGCGAGGCTTGAGTGAAGCATGTAACGCATACTTGGATGTCAAGAGAGTACTGGGACAACACTAAGGCCCAGCTGCATGAATCCAAAGTAACCAATTAAACGATACTACAGTTCTCCATAAGAGATTAAGACTAAAACAACTACTGTCAATTTTGAAAAAGGCTTGGACGAATGCAAAACAGATTTCATACTATTAAATTCTATCCTACAAGTACACATATACTAAGGCTGCCATAACTCGGTGTACTATTAACCTCATTCCCAGAATAATTCGAGACCCATATCCAAACAACAACACAATTCTCAAACAAAGAAAGCATCGACTAACATGAGCCTTAGCTGAACATTTTTTGGTTTCAAATCTATGGTGGTCACTTTGGCAACTCAAATGACAATCAATCCCAAAAAAAATACTAATTTCAGCTTGAGTAAAATAGATCTAAACATATGGAAGTCAATTAAACCTTCTAATACCATAATTCCTACAAATCCATATACATTCAAACCATGCTTCAATAACTTCATATCCCCAAACTACCGGATTGGAACAAGTGTTAAAGTTTACATATCAAGTTTAATCTAGTAACATTGTATCTAATAATACAAAGTGAGCAGATCATACATGAGGAAGAACAAACTTATAATACATATTTGGATGAATTCAAACTACAAAAAGATGAAACTAATCAAATGTATAAGCCCAAAGCTTCCAACTCAAACAACAACAACAAATCTTTCATTTCACCATGCCAAATGAGGTTCAGTAGATACCTGGTTACAACAAATAAACAAGGAAAATTCTAAGGTTAAGAAGGAGCAACAACAATAAACAACAATGTAACAGTGCAGAAAATCAGCAGCTCAACAAAACTTTAAACCCCAAACTCAAATATTTTTCTCAACCAGCAATAAAATCATAACCACAGCTTCTTCAATCCAGTAGAGAAAACCAATGGATAACAGACTTTAGAGTCTCAGAACACTTTCATCAACATTATGAAATTCCAAAGCAAAATTAAACCAATTTGAAACAAAGAAATGCAAGAATTTTAGTGTCTTCTTCAAAGTTTTCCAAAAACTAGCCGTTTCCCTTTTTTAGTCTTCTTAGTCTCTAAAATCTCACTTGTGAATAAGAAAGAATGCCTTTATAGGCAAGCCTTAGGGCAGCAATATTGAAATCAGTTTTTGCACTTTTATCCTTTTGAAATTTTTATTTTTGCTGTTTAATCCTTAGTTTAAAAATTAGGTTTTTACATAAGTCTCAATCCCCACCTTCTAGGCAGCTTCCAATTCAGTTACAAGAGATTCTTTCACCTAGAATTCCTAGATTACCCCTTAAAGCCCTGCTATTTACTTCAGAAATCTCATGGGTCAAATTGACCCAATAACCTAAACCAACCCCTTGAAGTGGGGTCTAAAATGGCTTCAAAGCCCAAACAACAAAATGAACCAAACCAAATTAGTAATCTATGACAAACAGAAGAAAACACTTAAATGATTTCAAAAACTTAAACCTAAACTAATTGACTGGTTAATTAACACAAATAGGCAGGGAATTAACTAAGTTATTAAATCAATATGACCTAATTAAACTATGTGACTAAAACAAAGGCGAAATCAGAAGTTAAAACATGCCATTAACAAAAACTAAACAGACCAAGAAAATCAGAGAACAAGCTTTTAATATTTGAAAAAGAAATCTGAACACAAAATTAATCTAAGGGGAACTTAGGTTCAGGACCTTGCTCAAACTTCATTCAAAGTAATAAGAGAACTAATTAGAGAAAGGGAGAGGAAAAGAAAAGGAATAAGATGGTGAAACAAAAGAAGGGACAAAGAAATGAAGGAAACTTACCAAATCAAAAATCAACACCCACTGGAGATAATGATTTGACGAAACTAATGTTAATCATTTGTCCTTCATTAAGAACAACTGAACAACATCAGTTTGCATCGAATCAACACTTCAAAACTCGAAAAATAGAGGCCTATGGTCATGCATGCCACCGGGTTCAGCAGAAATTGACTTTGAACTTTTAAGATTCGAACTTAGATTTAAGATTCGAGAGGTTTTGGCAAGATTCGAAGGAAAAAGAGTGAGGATTCGGAATGGGGAGGTGAATGGGAGTCTGTGGTGTAGATTTGGGGGTGATTGGAGGGTGGCGTCGCCGGCTTGATGCGGTGGAAAATTGGTGTCACGACCCCAAGCCGGACCCGATCGTGATGACACCTCTCGTGAAGACAAGGCCAGCCGACACAATTACCAAATTCATTTTTAACAATTTAATAAGTCAATTTGAGTCATTTATAAGAATAAATCCCCAACAAGTATAAATTTAGCGAAATAGAACAAGTGCGAGAATAGATACAGCCCGATATAGGGGTGTCACAAGTCACGAACATCTACTAAGATTTGAATACAATGAAGAGTCTGAAAATAAACTAAAAACAATCTAGGGAAGACAAGAGAGAGAAGAGCAGGGTTGCGAACATCGGGCATCTACCTTGCTAACTCCGATGACTCTGCCATTGAGCAATCAACACCCGTTACCGGATTTAGAAATACCTGAATCTACACACAAGGTGCATGGAGTAATGTGAGTACGCCAACTCAATAAGTAATAAAAGTAAATGAAAGCTGAGCAGTAAGAAACCATATAATTTCACGTCATAGCACTACAACAAATACCGTATATTTCTCAAAAATAGTACAGAAACCATTTACTTCATAAATCAAGCTCAGTTTCAGTAAAACCTTTTAAAACAACTTTTAATAGTTTCAAATGAGTGATAAACAGTGAGTAAAAATGATAGAAATGTAAACAACCCCTCGGGTAAAACATGTACCATAAACCGCCCCTCAGTCATAATATCAACAGAACCAGGCCCTTAAGCTACCTCACAATCACACGTAATCAGACCCTCGGGCATAACATGAATCAAGAACCGCCCCTCGGGCAAAACATGGATTAAGAACAGCCCTTCGGGCAACAATATGAAACAACAACAGCCCCTCGGGCTACATCATATCACTCACACTAGGTACCCGCGCTCACTAAGGGTGTACAGACTCCTAGAGGGTCCCCTTACGGCCCAAGCGCAATAACAAGCCATCTCATGGCATAATCAAATAAGTTCTCGGCCTCATATCAACAAGCCACCTCATGGCATAACAAATCAGGCCCTCGACCTCAAAAGCATGAATCAGTATAACACTGTTGCGGCGCGCAGTCCGATCCTATAGTATCCTCACAACACAAGCCCTCGACCTCACTCAGTCAGAAATCTCTCATGCCACTCGGGCAATTGTAAAACATGATGCTCATCCCAAAATATTATTTAAAATATCAAAACGAATTAAATATGGCTGAGTTATGAAAATAGTAGAATACAGTGAGGAATAGTCGTAAAAATCCCCTAAGGGTCCAAAATAGTTGGCACTAGTCACAAATATAGCATTCAGCCCAAAACATGATAATACTTTCCAAAACACAATGATATCAAACAATTTTCAATCAAATACGCGGTTTAACAGTCATACGGGACGGACTAAGTCACAATCCACAATGATGCACGACCCCACGCTCATCATCTAGCATGTGTGTCACCTCAAAGTAGCACAACGATGTGAAATCCGGGTTTTCATACCCTCAAGACAACATTTACAATCATTACTTACCTCGAACTAGCCCGAAAAGCTACTCTGCAACACACTTGCCTATCGACCCAACTTCCGAGTGCTCCAAATCTACCAAGTTCAGATTTTTATCATCAAATTATGCTAAATGAATGAATTCCAATTGAAAAACATCGATTTTAAACACAAAACCCGAAATCAGTCAAAACCCGACCCCCGGGCCCACATTCCTGAACTGGGCAAACTTTACACCAAAATATTCTTCATCATCTCACGAGTCCGTACATATAAAGAACTCAAAAATCGGAGTTCATTTGACCCCTCAAATCATCCCTAGAAGGTGTCATAATCTCAAGCCCTAACTCCACCTTTTTCTACTGATTTTCATGTCTAAATCCATGTAAGATCACATATTTAACTCAAAAATAGGAAGAAATCACTTACCTAGTGTTGCTTGGTGAAACTCCCTCCTTGAGCTCTCCAAAATCGTCCAAGCCAAATGAAAGGAATGAAAGAAATGGGCTAAAACTCGTGTTTAAAACAATCTGTCCAGGCTTCATCGAGTTGTACCTTGCGCTGTGAAGGTTGTACATCCTCTTACCATTTTCCCCTGCTTACACCTTCTGTTAAAACGCCCATAACTCCTTGTGAAAATATCCAAATAACAACGGTTTGAAGATTTAGAAACTAGACTCGAAGATATTTCATTTGATAGGTTGTACACCATATAACTCTTTATATATTCCGAGATATGAGCTTCTAAAATGTATCAGAAAATTCTGTCGAAACTGCTCCACCAGCCATCTTCGATCCAATATAACTTTCTGATAGAATATCCAAATCATGAGTGGTTTAATTTTCTGAAAACTATAATGCAAGGTCTACAACTTTCATGTTTTGCAATTTTTCTGATTCCTTATAAATTGCAAGATATGAGCTTCCAAACTGGACTCCTCGCACTAGAAATTTTCTGGTGCACAGCTGAAGCTCAAAAAAATCTGCAACTTTTCCAAAGATGAAATAGTCCGTTTAACCACCCGAAACTCACCCGAGGCCATTGGGACCTCAACCAAACATGCCAACATATCCCATAACATCATTCAAACTTGTTCCAACCTTCGGAACGCTCAAAACAACATCACAACACCAAATTCGCTTCGGATTCAAGCCTAAGAATTTCAAAATCTTCTAAATTACTCTTTTGATCAAAAACTCAAACAAAACACGTCCGAATGACATGAAATTTTGCACACATATCCCAAATGACACAACGGAACTACTTCAACTCTCGAAATTCCATTCCAACCCCTATATCAAAATCTCACCTATCAAACGGAAAATGCCAAAAATATCAACTTCGCCAATTCAAGCCTAAATCTACTATGAACCTCCAAAACTCCTTTCGATCACGCTCCTAAGTCATAAATCACCTTCCGGAGCTAACCGAACCATCGTAACTCACATCCGAGCCCTCTAACACATAAGTCAACATCTGGTTGACTTTTCCAACTTAAGCTTTCTTAAAAGAGACTAAGTATCTCAAACCTTACCAAAATCATTCCGGAATGACTTCAAATTTTGCACACAAGTCACATTCGATATTACGGACCTACTCCAACTTCCGAAATTGGAATTCGACCCCGATATCAAAAAGTCAACTCTCGGTCAAACTTCTGAAAAACCTTCAAATTTCTAACTTTCGCCAAAATGCATCAAATTGTTCCGCGGACTTCCAAATCCAAATTCGAACATACTTCTAAGTCCAAAACACCAAACGAAACTATTGGAATCATCAAAATTATATACCGAGGTCGTTTGCTCAAAAGTCAAATCTCCAGTCAAACTTAAGAAATCTTTAGCCTTATATTTCTAGATTCCGTTAAATGGCGATAATTTGAGCTAGGGACTTTCGAATTCGATTTCGGGCATTGACCAAGTCCCAAATCACGATACGTAACTACCGAATGGTCAAAACTTGGATCCAGGTTCGTTTGCTCAAAATGTTGACCGAAGTCAACTCAGTTGAGTTTTAAAGCTCTAATTCACAATTTAATCCATTTTTCACATAAAAACCTCCCGGAAAATTATACGGATTGCGCACGCAAGTCGAGGAATTATTGATACCGCTTTTCAAGGTCTTATAACACCGATATGATTATTTAATTTAAAGATGACATTTTGGGTCATCACATTCTCCACCTCTAAAACAAACGTTCGTCCTCAAACGTACTAAGAATTATTCTCAGGTTGCCAAATTGATGATTTTACTTTTACAAAAATATTCGCGGTTAATCCCACATTACCGCATTCAACATAAGTCTGACAATACCATTTCAATTGAGATTATTTCCTTTATCCATATTTGTAAATTTGAAGACCAAATTTCTTACACTCCAATCATTTCCTGAAAGGTTTGATTTTCACGTCAACACATAATATTAGTCTCGACTGGCTATAGCAACTCATGCCTACGCACCCATCAAATATGGGGTATTACATTCTCCCCCACTTAGGGTCATTCGTCCTCAAATGAGAAGTAGAGTCCGTCCTCAAATACATAATGTAACTTATCTCTTTCTTTGCACATCTCAATATCCCAAATTTTTCTAACTCCCAAATTTTATTTTATTTTTTCAGAAATTTCGGCAGAGTCTCCCTTGTAATTGGGCCTATCCACATGTCAGAGTAACACCAAAACAACTCCTAACAACATATCCACAACCCAGCAAAGCACCACAAAGTATATATCAATAACACTAATCTCCGCATTACAAGCATAACATTATCATAATGATATTCATACAAGATTTTTTTTGCAGATAAGTCTAATAGGCATGACTCCCTATAAGTACTATAGTACAAATTTTAATTTCACAAAGGGGGCATTTAAACACATAATTGTTTTTTCACCACAAGGACCTCGTCCTTACATAACATCTACCGCAACTTGTAGCCCGGTTTAAATATTTCATGTAACGACCCGACTGGTTGTTTTGCCTTCTAGGATCCCGTTCCCTTAAATAAACTTCCCGTGCTTGCTTTAGCTAATTTATGACTTGCGGGGATGGTCGGTTCGGGAATTGGAAGAGTTTTGAGTGAAATATGTCCATTTGATTCTTTAAGATTCTCTTAAAAGACTAAGTTTGACTTTGGTCAACATTTTGAGCAAAGGAACCCGGATCCGTGAGGGTCCCGGAGGATCCGTGGGAAAATATGGGATCTGGGCATATGCTTGGGATCAAATTCCGAGGTCCCTATCCCGAGTAATGAATTTTTATTAGAAATTGTTAATTTGAAGTTTTAAGGATTTAAAGAAACTAAGTAATCATTGATTTCCTAGGTATCGGGCTCGTATTTTAGTTTCGAAACCTGGTACAGGTCCGAAATATCATTTAAGACTTGCCTGTAAAATTTAGTGTCAATCCGAGTAGTTTAATGGCGTTTTGGCCCGTTAGAGGGAAATTAAGAACATGAAGTTCATAAGTTTGATTTATTTGGTTTTAGGTGATGATTTCTAGATTTGGCATTGTTTCAGGTGTTCCAAAGGTTCGAGTAGGTCCGCCTCATGATTTCAAACTTGTTGGTAATGCTTCTGCATATTTTGTGTAGATTTGAATGTTGAAGGCAACTGACTTTGAGAGTGAGATCATACGTTGTTCGAGAGGATTCAAGGTAATGTTGCATGACCGTCATAGCCCCTTGGTGTCCCTTCCTTCATTTTGCTACTGTTACTTTTCACATTCGAACAATATTGTATTTTTTAAGACTTCTTTATGTATCAGGTTCAAAGCTCATGACTTTGTAATACCTGATTTTGGGAGTTGTATTATGTATCACCGTTTTGGCTTATATTTTTTACTTTTTTTGATGTTTATGATAAGTCAGATTTATTGTATCATTTTTTATGATTGAATATTGTAAATGTGACTGGCTTACCTAGTCTTGAAGATCACGTTATCTATATGCAAATGCTCAAAATGATCGGTTGGGTCTTGAAGGTGGTTTCAGAAAAGGACAGAAAGAGGAAGCCCCAAAAAATCAATCAATAGAAAGGTCTACCAAAACAAAGATCAATCACAAACCCAAACCACAATAGAAGTTATCTATATATAACGACTCGATCAGTCGTTTTGAGCATTTGCATTCCGTTCAACTATTCGAAGTCTTGAGCATCTTCATATGATGTATTATGACTTGTGTGAAATATCGGTTTCGGGTTTTGCGTGATTCAGAATTAGTTTGGAAGTATGATTCTCAACTAGGAAGCTTCAAGTTGGAAGAGTTGACCAAGTTTTACTTTTGAATATCTGACCTCATACTGGAGTTTTGATAGTTCCGTTAGGTCCGGATGGTGATTTTTGACTTGCGCGTATGTCCGGATTTACATTTGGATATTTCTAGAAGGTTTCAGCACTCATTTGGCGAAGTTGAAAATTTGAAGGTTGGAATGTTCATAAGTTTGACCAAGTGTTTACCTTGATGATAACGAGTTCGGATTGTGGTTCTGGGAATACCAATAGCTTCGTTGTGTCATTTGGGACTCGTGCACAAAATTTGAGTTCATTCCGAATTGATTTGATAAGGTTCAACACGAGTTCTGGAAGTTAAAAGATTTAGAGCTCATTAAGTTCAATTTGAGGTGCGATTTGAGGTTTTGATGTTGTTATACGTGATTTTAGGCCTCGAATAAGTTCGTGTTAGAATATGGGACTTGTTGGTATATTTGGACGGGGTGTCGATGGGCTCGGGTAAGTTTCGAACGTGGTCCAGATCATTTTTATCTCATGTTGCATTGCTGAAGGAGTGTTGGTTCTGGTGTTGTGCACCTGCGATTGGTTTTGTGCAGGTGTGGTGGTCGCAAAAGCAGTAATATGGTCGCACCTATGGTGAAGGCTGAGTTGGGTTACTCCGCAGAAGTAGGTTTTTTAGTGCACCTGCGACATCGCAGATGCAGAGAATGTGTCGCAGAAGCGAAGTGTAGCACAGAAAGTGGGGCACTTTCTGTAGGTGCGATGGGTGAGTTTCAGTGGTTTCTTGCAGAAGCGAGTTTATCGCAAAAGCAATGCCACAGAAATGGCTAAGTGTGCTGCAGATGCGACGAGGCCTGGGCAGAAGCTATATATCGAGGGCATGGCTATTTTATTCACATTTTGAGTTGAGGAGCTCGGATTTGGGCCGTTTGGAGCCAATTTTCACTATATGGATTGGGGTAAATGTTCTCTACTCAGTTTTGATTATAGTTCATGAATCTATCTTCATTTTTGGCATATGATTAATGATTTCAAGAGAGAACTTGGGAGTTTTTGTCTAAAATTTCATAAAGTGAATTTTTGAGTTTTGAATTTTGCTTCCGAGTCGGATTTGAGTAAAACTAGTATAGTTGGACTCGTTATTGAATGGATTGTCGAATTTTGTAAGTTTTATCGTGTTTCGAGATACGGGCCCGGGTTTGACTTTGGGATTTAGAATAAAGATTCAACCTTTTTTGATTGGGATTATTTCCTTTAGTA